CAGGAAAAACAAAAGCGTGCGAGCCCCCGAATGCAAGGTCAGAGGCAGATTCTCTCGGAAAGCCCGCTCCCCACGGCATTTGCAGTTACCCACCTCCAAAAGGGTACAAGTAAACACTGGACCTGCTCTGGCGTTACACTGCCACGGCTCCTCCCGCTGGCTCCCTCCTCTTCTTCTTTAAGACAGGTAAAGGTGGATCTCTTGAAGGAACTGGGGGCTCCCACTCTAGGCAAAGGTTGGACAGGTGATCAATGTACAGCATGAGATTTGACTGTGCCTCCGTGCCTCCAACAGAGCTGGATCATCTGGGGCAATGAAAATTATAAGCAACAAGAGAGCGGTATTAACAGCAAGGGTAGGGAAGCCCATGCAGCACACACCACGATGCCCTTCGACACCCAGCGACCATGCCTCTCCTAATTCAGTCATTCCAGACACACTCGTCAAGCACTGTGCCAGGCTCCGGGGATAGAGGAGTGACAGATATAAACACAAGTCCGGTCCTCATAGAGCTCATGGGCCATTTTGAACAAGGAGACAAGCAATTAAAGGACAAAGGAACTTAGAGGGAGCATAAAGCAAGGGCAGCCAACCCAGACTGCTGGTCAGTGATCATGGGAGGCTTCCTGGAAGAAGTGACATTTGACAGGGAACCCAGAGGACCCATTTAGTTAGCCAGACAAGTCTGGGGTGTGTCCAAGAGTCTGAGAATGTGCAAGAATCTGAGATGAGAAAGCATGGCTCGTGTGAGGGGCTGAAAGCCCTTTGTTCTCGGCCGTTCTCCAGCCTGTAACGCTCCACCCACCCAGAGCACCAGGTCTGGGGTCTGCAGCTCTCATCACAGGCTGCTCCTTCAATCCCCACAATCCAGTCGTGTTTCGACCTCTTCAGGTTGGGATCTCAGGAAAGGAAAGAACTTGGAAAATAGTTTGTTCTATAAGAAGATAGAAGAGCAACCACAACGCCGAGTTGAGCACTACACAATGGACCCAGCCATCTGCTTTCTGCACACCGGCATGGCGGGTGAGTGACCTGCCGTACTCATTCTGGGCAGTCAGAACAAGACCCTGGACTGCACTTCGGCTTCTTCCCTTCGGCTCTCACTTTGCCCTTCCCTTTCCTCCAAGGAAATCGCAGGGGGAGCAAGAAGGAAACCCAAAAAGCTGATGAAGCCAATCTTGCCAGGGGCCTCCATGCAGGAGGACGCAGCAAAATAAACAAAAACCTGTGCAAGTCCCAGTAGCTTGAGTGTTGCCCGGGGTTCTAGCTGCCTTTGCATGAAAGCGACCATGGAAGGGGATGGTTTAAGACATGGCGATAAGTACGCGATCATTTTACCAAAATGCAGTCCAAAGTAGCGTCCCTTTACATTTTCATATTATCATATCATTCAAGTCCTACAAACACAGAGAGAAACAAAACCCTCACTTCTAAAAAGCGGAGCACGCAGCTATTTTTCAGACAAAGAAAGGATGTCTTTTTTAACCGATGACAACACAAATTTGTTTAGGTTTTCCCTCCACTAAGTAAGTAAGCAATTAGGTTTTTTCCAATAAAAATATCCCCGTGCATGTGCAAACACCAGAGGCAATCATATAATTACCCTGCCCAATCAGATTCAATTGCTGACAGTTGAGTTCCCACTGCTCATTAACTTCAGATCACAATGGGGTCTTTACGGAAGCCCTTTCCCGTCTCTTTACAAAGGTCCCTGTGATGCTGTGAGCAGTCCCAGCACTACCTCAT